TACTCCAAGGCCAAATTTGCCTGTTACTCCAGGTGTTTCTTGACTTCCTACTTTTGCATTCCAGTCCTCTATAATGAAAAGAACATCTTTTTTGGGTGTTAGTTCTAAAAAAGTCTTGTAGGTCTTCATAGAACCGTTCAACTTCAGCTTCTTCAGCATTACTGGTTGGGGCATTGGCTTGGATTACCGTGATATTGAATGGTTTGCCTTGCAAACGAACAGAGATCATTCTGTCGTTTTTGAGATTGCATCCAAGTACTGCATTTCGGACTCTTTTGTTGACCATGATGGCTACTCCATTTCTTCTAAAGGATTCCTGCCCACAGTAGTAGATATAATGGTCATCTAGGTTAAATTCACCCATTCCAGTCCATTTTAGTTCGCTGATTCCTAGAATGTCGACATTCACTCTTGCCATCTCCTGTTTGACCACATCCAATTTGCCTTGATTTGGGAAACTAACGTTCCAGGTTCCTATGCAGTATTGCTCTTTACAGCATCAGACCTTGCTTCTATCACCAGTCACATCGACAACTGGGTATTGTTTTTGCTTTGGCTCCGTCCCTTCATTCTTTCTGGAGTTACTTGTCCACTGATCTCCATTAGCATATTGGGCACCTACCGACCTGGGGATTTCCTCTTTCAGTATCCTATCATTTTTCCTTTTCATACTGTTCATGGGGTTCTCAAGGCAAGAATACTCAAGTGGTTTACCATTCCCTTTTCCAATAGACCACATTCTGTCAGACCTCTCCACCATGACCCGTCCGTCTTGGGTGGCCCCACATGGCATGGCTTAGTTTCACTGAGTTAGACAAGGCTGTGGTCCTGTAATCAAGTTGGCTAGTTTTCTGTGATTATGGTTTTAGTGTGTCTGCCCTCTGATACCCTCTCACAACACCTACCGTCTTTTGTGTTTCTCTTACCTTGGACTTGGGGTATCTCTTCACGGCTCTCCAGCAAAGCGCAGCTGCTGCTCCTTGGACGTGGGGTAGCTTCTGTCGGCCACCGCCCCTGACCTTGGGCATGGGGTAGCTCCTCTCGGGACCTGCCAACTAACCTTTCTGATCTTTTTTCACAGGTGGTGGAGAGAAGATGGGGAACAATGCAGTTTCCAGGTGTCAAGGTCTAAGTAGGTCAAGTCAGACCCTTTTTGGGAATGTCTAGTCCACAATGGTCAGGATACCAAAGCATATTGCAATGGTTAGCAGAAAACTGACAAACCCATCAGAATTATTTGAGGAGATGGCAGTTTGTGGATTAAATTGCTCCGTTAATGATTTTCCTTTCTTTAGATTGAATTCAGATAAAAGATTCCTCTGCATCTAGTACTGTGGGAAAAAGATAAAAGGGAGAATCCTAACTTTGAACTTCCCTGGTTAATTTTTATTCATTTATGTATTTTTATCAAAGTATAGTTGATTTACAGTATTGTGTTAATTTCTACTGTATATCAAAGTGATTAAGTTATATATATATATATTTACATATATATATTCTTTTTTATATTCATTTCCATTATGATTTATTACAGGATGTTAAATATAGTTCCTTGTGCTAAACAGTAGGACCTTGTTTTTATCCTAGATTATTTTAAAATTTTCCATTGCTTTAGATCTTGAGGAAATATTTGAAGATTTCCTTTATTACCGAGAGTGATTGCTACTTAATGTTCTTTCAAACTCAGAAAATCACTTTATGGTGAAAGTAAAAAATTAAGCTTTTGAAAGATGTTTCTCCTTGATTAAATGTGATTCAGTTAGTTTCAGTGTTAAAGATGATAAACCCAGCATTTTGCTCTGTCTGAATCTTGAGAGCACCAGGCATTTTGGACAAATCAGTTAACTAGTTGGGCCTTGTTCTTTTGTAAAATGAGAAAATTTAGACTAGTGAGCTCTTGGATACCTTCCAACTCTATAGTATGTGGTCTTATGACATGAGTGGCCGTCTTAGATTTTACCCCAAAATGAATAATTACCAAATAATGTCAATGATTTAAATGTAAACCTAGCCCTGCCGTGAGCCTTCATAAAACACAGAACAATGTTTACTGTGTTCAAATGACATTTTAATATAGAATCAACTTTTTAGTTTTTGGTTTTTTTAAATCTATGTCCCCAATTATAATTGTTTAAATTATAATCTTTCTGCGTGTATCTAATATGCATGAGGTTACTTGTCTAATTTACAGATATCTTTTGTAAATTGTTTTGATTCCTGTATATGGGAATTCAGAAGAAAAGTTCAGTGCCAGATTTTTTCCCCCTGTGAATACATATAACTATTTATTAGTTTTAAAAATGTGGGTTAGAGTTGGTTTTCGAAAAGAAAAATTTGCAGCTGCCCTTTCAAAGACGCTATTTTAGAGGACAGGCTAGAGAATGAAGAGAGTGGAGAAAGGGAGGTTAACTTTACCTTCATTTAATGTGAAGTTCCAAGGTAGATGTTCTGTTTACTTAACAATCAATAAGATATTACATATTACATATGATTTTCTGTAGACTTTTTACTATGCCTTTCATGGGATATCTCGTTCCAGTAAGCCACCCTGTTAGATATTTTAAGCAGTGTATTTTTGCTGAAGTGTACAGTAGTGATTTTTAAAGGTGGAATTGGCAACACCTGGAAACTTACAGATTTGATGAAATTTCCAGGCCATATAAAATTGTTGCTGTGAACTTAACATGTAAAAGAGCATTATAACTCTGCATCCGTGTTTGCTTGGCCTGGTGTGGTTGTCTGTTTCTTGGAATGAACACAGAGAAAGAAATTAAAAGGCACAAATAATAAATTAGCTTTTCTCTTTTTGTGTCTTCATCAAACCAGTATTTGCAGAGATCCTTCTGTTCCTCCTCTCTTTATAGTCCACCAGACATTTCATATTTGAAAGACTGTATGAAGCTTACTCCTTTGATCCCTCCTCTTTGAAAGGATTCCCAAATGCCAGCATTCCTCCTAGTTAAGTTTTCATTCAGCTTTTCTTTTGTTTTGCTTCATAATTTAGTGGTAAATTATAGATTATTTATTTATTTTTTAAAAGATGTTTGAGCTTGCAGACTTGAGCTTTTAATTTTCTTGGTTTCACTGTCATACAGTAAAAGTCTATCTGGCATTAACTGAAACTTCCTCACTGCGTACACATGCAACAACAACCTAACATAAAGAATAATGATAGTTGGTTACAGCCATGACCCTAAGGCAGTGCAAGATACCTAAATGTTGTCTGATTTATTCAAGAAAGATAAGATCACATCAACTCAGTTTGTTGTAAGTTTTGTTCCAATTCATTTGACAAGTACTAATCTATGTTTAGTGAGTGGATATTAAACAGACCACCCCATTCCCTAATCTAACAGGGTAGGGTGTTTGTTGTGTTTTATGTCAACTCTGCTGTAGAGATGTTCTGCATGAAAGATGTTTTCAATTAAAAATTCAAGAAGGTAATACTGGCACCCCTTATATTAGGATCATGTTCTGAAGATTTCTCAAATCTTCAGTTAGTCAATTCAGTCGCTCAGTTGTTTGCAATTCTTTGTGACCCCATGGACTGCAGCACGACAGGCTTCCCTGTCCATCACCAACTCCTGGAGCTTGCTCAGACTCATGTCCATCAAGTCGGTGATGCCATCCAACCATTTCATCCTCTGTCATCCCTTTCTCTTCCTGCCTTCAATCTTTCCCAGCATCAGGGTCTTTTCCAATGAGTCAGCTCTTTGTATTAGGTGGCCAAAGTATTGGAGCTTCAGCTTCAGCATCAGTCCTTCCAGTGAATATTCAGGATTGATTTCCTTTAGGATTGACTGGTTTGATCTCCTTGTAGTCCAAGGAACTCTCAAGGGTCTTCTCAACACCTCAGTTCAAAAGCATCAATTCTTTGGCTCTCAACTTTCTTTATGGTTCAACTCTCACATCTCAAATCTTTCCTGTCCTCAAGATAGTTGAAGTCTAAAAATAGAAAAAGATGGAATTCAGAAATCAGTACTCCTCTGGAAAGCCTCACTATAGCAATGCTTTCTTCTAAGCATTCACATTCCCAGACTTTTTTCGAAGATTCATTTGAGCAAACTTTTGTTGAACACTCACTATATATAAGATAATGCGATAGGAAATAAACAACAGTGTCAGGAATGAAGGGAAATAGAACTATGCTGTTGATAGTTTTATGGCTGTCAAGGACTTCACACTCTTTAACAGTTCCCTAAATTAACTTTCAGGCCTGTAGTTATAAATCTGGAAGAGTTTTGGTATGTTTTATTTTTGAAATTTGTTTGAGCATTTTGCAGCAGTCAGCTGGAAAGCACCAGGGAAGCAAATGATCTATTCAAAAGTCCAGAAGGGCTTGTGTGTGCTATCTTAATATAGCTTTATTGAGATATAATTTACATATGATAAACTTCATCTTTTAAAGAGACTAGTTCTTTGAGTTTTGGTATACTCACAGAGTTGTACAGCCATCACCACTTTCTAATAATTTTATAACATTTTCATCATTCCCAAAAGAACTGAACTCATTAGTGGTCACTTTTCCTAGTCCTCCACCATCAACCTGAGGTAACCATTAATCTGGCTTCTTTGTTTATGGATTTGCCTATTCTAGATATTTCATGTAAATGGAATTATAGAATATTTGTGTTTTTGTGTCTGGCTTCTTTGACTTTGCATAGTATATTCAAGGTACATCTATTTTGTAGCATATACTAATACTTCATTTCTTTTTATGACTGAATAATATTCTGTTATATGGATTTGCCGCATTTTATTTATCCATCAATCAGTTGCTAGATATTTGAGTTGTTAACTACTTTTTTGCTCTTACAAATGATACTGCTGTGTACATGTGTATGTTAGTTTTTATATAAGCTGTATGTTCTAATTTCTCTTGGATATACCTATGAGTGAAATTATTGGATCATATGCTGACTTTGTTTAACCTTTTAAAACTGTTTTCCAAAGTGACTATATAGCTTTTCAATTCTATCATCAGTGAGTGAGGGTTCTAGTTTCTCCATACCATCATCAACACTTGTTCTCTCTTTTATAATTTTAGCCACCCTAATGGATGTGAAGTGGTATATCACTGTGGCTTTAATTTGCATTTCCTCAATGGCTAATAACATTGAGCATCTTTTCATGTGCTTTTTGGCTATTAAAGTATTTTCTTCAGAGAAACATCTATTTCAGTCCTTTCCACATCTAAAAATTGTGTCATTTGCCTTTTTGTTGTTGAATTGTAAGAGTTCTTTATATAATCTTGGTACAACTCTTATCAGCTATATAATTTGCAAATATTCTCTTCCATTATGTGGGTTGTTTTTTCACTTTCTTGATAGTATCCTCTGTTGCACAAAAGTTTTTAATTTTTACGACATCCAACTTATTTATTCTTTTTTTCTTTTGTTGCTCATGTTATATCTAAGAAGCTATTGCCTAATTCAAGGTTATGAAGATATACTCCTGGTAATTTCTTCTAAGTGTTTATAGTTTATTTCTATGATCCATGTTGAATTAATTTTTGTATATAGTGTGAGATAAGAGTCCAGCTTCATTCTTTAGTATGTAGCTACCCAGTTGTCCCATACCATTTATACCATTCTTTCCACATTGAATGAACTTGGTACCCTTATCAAAAACTAACTGATTTTAAATCTAAGAGTTTGTTTCTGGATTTTCCAGTCTATTCCATTTATCTGTTTGTTTATCTTTATGCCATTGATACACTGTCTTTATTATTTTTACTTTGTAGTAGGTTTTGAAATTCCACACATGATATTTTACTTTTTACTTTTCCTCAGTGCCCACAACTTTTGGTTACCAGTTTTCAAATCTGACTTTTTAATATTTTTCAGGCTGATTTGAGACTGTGCCCCTACTAATAATTCATTGGTTTAGGATCTTAACTATTTGTTGTTGTTGTTTTGTTGCCCAGCCCCACCCAAAAGCATTAGCTTCTTAACTGGTTGTTTATGTTAATTCATTCAGCCATTTTTGTTTTTTACCTGCTGCACGTGACATATAGGTATTGGGGGGTATAACAATGAATACGTCAGATATAATCTGTATTCTCATAGACTTTACATTCTAGTTGGGGAAGCACAATAAATAAGTTTAAAACAATTAGTGTGATGAAGGGAA